AACGCGAGTGGACTCAGAACCTATATATATATATATATATATATATATATATATATATATTTCCACTGACTCTTCCGTTGAATAGGAAAAATCGCTTCCTGTGAGAGGCACTAAATGTTCAGAGACTCCGCCGAATTTATCAGCTTTTATTCATTCATAGTGTGTGCAGTGTGTGAGAGATGTCTACGTTCGCTCCGCCATAGACATAGTTCTGAACGAACGAAACATCTGTTTATTCCGGCCACTCACAAAATATACATGGAGGTTTAAACGATTCATTGTAAAAACCCAGAAATGACAGCGCTGTACGGCTATTAGTCGAACTTCGGGATGACAACGTGTCCAACAAATACGGGCATGGTGGAATCACACACGAGGGCAAAGAAGAACGGATGATCAACAGAAATTGTCCTAGGCAACCGACAGCTGCCATACATAGTGAATATTGTTGCGGCAGCTGCTGTCACCCCTTCTTCATCAAGCTGAATATAGAAGGGAAATGAGAACAGGATTATGTGCTCAGAGGTAATAACTACTCAATATACAGCAAAATCTCTCCCAGTGCTCGTTTCTGAACGGTAAAACATGAGATCTAAATATAGGCAATGAAGTAGGCATTTGAACGGAATACAATGTCATTTGTTCGCGAACAATACATTGTTTACAAAACGAACCCATAATTACTGGATTAGTTGATCGGTAGTAAACAGATCAGAAGGAAACCAGGTGGGCTATGTTGCCAGCAATTATAAGATTAAAGCAAATTAGCTGTTCACTGCACTGAGTAAAGGCACGGACAACATTCGCCAGCGAGATGATGTGAGTGGTACCAAGAAGGCCCGTGGGGCTAATAGTTTAGAATAGTCTGAAATACTGAACACTGTTCAGATTCTTGGAATGAACTGCTAGGGTGTTGAACTTACCTCGAGCACGGCTTTGTGAGACGCGTTGCTCACCGACAAGCGCGATTGGGACAACCTGGACAAGTCTCCTTCATCAAACAATTTCTTCATTCCACATTCATACAAAATTGGCTTCAAATCTATCATGGGTTGATCTGCGAGCTTGAATTTCGGAAGAAACAAGTGGGATTCTTCCATGTGGAACGGGCCTCTCAATGCGGAAGCCAATTGTCCTGGTACTTGTAATCTGGAAAGTAGTTTCGGCAAACCAGCTGTTTCGTGTGGCAACAAAATCAATAGCGCCCATTCACTGTGGGAACTGAAATGAAACCGGAATTTGGGAAAATGTAGATAAATTCCAGGGGGACAAAATGATTGGAAAATACTGCGTGATTCAGTAGTAATCCGGGTATTGTATGATGACCCTCTTCGTGATCCTCTTGTTTAACGGCTGAAAACAGTTAAGTGCAAGAGAAAGAAATGTGTATCGGCTATAGCCTGAATTTACCAGTAGTCCACCTTCTGTATGCAGCAAATGAGCCCATCATTTTGATGACACAAAAGTGCGACCGATGCGGCATGACAATATTTTCAACTTTCACTCTACTCTTTGCAAAACCCCCGGTAGATATCCCCTACCTCGCTCTCCAATCGCTTGTTTGTCTGTCGGACGAAAATAAACAAGCAGGGCATTTGTTCACTCGTGCGAGCAAACTTACCGATTCCTTGTGTCAAAAGCGAAACGTTGCCCAAATGAAAACTACCGATTGTTTACCAAGCTCTTCCGCAATTATCGATTCTTCATTGCAGATCCATCGGTCAGATAAGTGGTAAGTGTGATCATTGGTTCATTGGCAGTAAACGCGCTGAAATGTGTAACATGTGAAAATCACTTACAATTTTACACAAGTTATCATTAGCGGATGAAAGGCTGACCGGTGTTTCTGCCCAATATTGTACAGACAATTCAAAATGACTCGTCCGGCAAAATTGTTGTAGGCTTCTCTCGAGCTATAGCGATTCTCTGAAATACGTCACATCTGGGTTTCTCAGAACTCTCCATACGTTCATCTCTGTAGAATAGGGAAAAATGACGAGCTGATAGGCACTCTGATGCCTCGCCGTGTCAACATCACCGTCATCATCGATATCATGAGATCGGTGCTCAACAGTGATGTTTCGATGCCGTTCCTCAGAGCAAACGGTGTCGTCGAGTTTGTTTATGATCGAGATTATTCGCCGGGATCAATCACCTGAGCATCATCAACAAATGCGTTCAAGATCCGATTTTGGAACTGATTGTTTGATGCGCAGCAGACGTTCTGTTGTGTGTGACCAACAGCCCCGTGACTCCCTTTTCATTGGACTGCGTCGCTTCAAAGGACCGTATGTAACCATTTGAAACCAAAAGCACTTTCAAATACTGTTTTCATTCGACTAGGAGGTTCATTGTGCAAACGAATAAAACAATAACATCCGCGATAGGCAACTTAGGCGCGAAATTTTGTCTGAAGCTTCCAGTGAAACATTTGCTGGGTATCCTGTAGAGCCCAAAGAAGAGGATAGACAACCAGTGTACACGGAATACGAGATCCACGTTGGTTCCATTAATGTGAATGAAATTACGCCGAACCGTCGGTGCACCATACAATATCGTCAGGGGGATCTCAAGTTAATGGGGGATATATTCCAAAGGGGGCTACGCGTCGAACGATAGAGCGTCCAGGAAAACAATTTGACTGGAAACGCCGGAACCATTACTACACTGACATTGTCACCAGCGTGAAATTCATGTCAGATGTCACGCGGAAGACTACATCGCCTGCGGTTTAACTGGGAAACGCCACTAGATGTCTAACTTATTGGTTTATATGATCCGGAAATTCGCCTAGGTGCAAATTATGTCGAATATGCTCGCTTGTCTTCAAGATATCGCCACCAGACATCTGGACCGACCATTACAAATTCCCATGGCTCCCAGATGCTCAAAGTCAAATTTGGTCATTTCTATTCGGGCGATTTCCACTGCTATTAACCTAGCTCAAGTTGGAACATAGATATTTCAAATTGATGATGATCAAGATAGATATTCATGACGACTTAAGTTACCAACCTTTTGAACAATGTATATTTTCGCACGGACAAACACAATTTCCAAAAGTCGCCTGAGGGCCTGTGGATCTTTTCATGGCAAAACCAAAAAAACAACCGTTTACTCTATGAATAGACTTACTCGTTCCGTCGAAAAGGAAGTTTTATAGCCATACAGTCCAGTTCTGAGAGATCAGCCAGATTGAATGACGATTTCCCATACATCATTTGCACTTTCATTGATTCCCCGTTCAAGCAATGAAAGTCACTCTCTCGAGTTTTTTCCTTATCAAACTGGTGATCCCATGAGCCTATGGGTTTGTTCCGATCACAGTTGGGCATCACAGCTACTTACCTCGAAAATACAACGCGTTGATTAGCAGAAATATCGAGTTCTGGTCGAGAAAACTAGGCGGCAACAGTTCCTCAATTTTGTTCTTCGTGTTTTTTGCGACCCAGGCGTTAATGTGACGTCGTTTCGCCTCTAGATTTGGCAGTTCGGTGGCACATGACAGTGAGAGAATGTTGGAGCAAAATGATTACCAGCTCAACTGAGGCCTTGTAACACTTGGCAACTAGTGCACTGTATTCCGGCCGAATATCGATCGATTTTAGAAGGTACAATCGATTAGCAAGGTTCAAGTCCACGTCGCTGGACGCTTCGAAATACTCCGAAATTATTGGTCCATATGACTGATGAACAGCGTCCGATCTGAGTTTCGGGGGAATGTGAAGCACCTGCTGCATCTCCTGCAGTGTTTCGCCGTCGACTCCGGCCATCATCAACAACGAGGCACAATAAACACTCATGGGCGAAAATAGAGAGTTCGCTAAACTTGCTGGAACATGTGTGAATACGTTCGTTTATCGGAAATGCATCATTGACTTACCGGCTTGTAATTTGATAATTTTGTCATAAATATCTCCGGCGAATTCTGTGAGGCCTTCTTTGAAATGAAGAACTTGTTCCATCTCTTTGGCCTGCATAGTGTGCATAGACTGCAAACGTTGTTTTCAACCTATATATAGGTCTGGGTCGGCGTTACCTGCCTACGCGTTCTCTTCGGTCGGCAGGTTTACGGAATCACGTGGTTTTGTGGAGATGAACAAACAAACGTGTTTACTGCGCAGTGTGCGAGCAAGGTCAATTTGTCCGTTCGTCCAATCCCAAACCCTTGTTCGCTTGGAGAAAAACATCAGCGTGTGTTTCAGTTCTTAATGGCAGTATCGAACCGCAGGTATTTCACTCTAATAAGTGGATGATTTTGGTGAGACAAACGGCGTGCACGTTTTGTGTTTTTGTTGTTGTGTTTCACGGTTGTGTTTGTGTGCCTGAATGTCGTGTGGGCGGATATGATCGTCCCTTCAGTACACACACTTTTCAGAAGGCTC